TGTAGCATTTCGCCACAATTTAATTCTTCGTATTGTCAGCCGACACTGGGCAGGTTGTACATAATTGAATAAATTCAATTTTAATACTAGAAATAAACACCAATTTATTTTCCTTAACGTTTCGCTTTACCGCTTCTCCAGGAGAGTTCCACTAAAACACAAACAGTAACTGACAGTACAAAGCCTCAGATGTTATTCTTATAAAATAAATTAAAATTTCAAACTACATTTAAAGGCGACATCTTAAGTAACACTGTCTAACAATTTTCTATATTTCCACGAAGAATGTTCATTATTACAGAATTTGTATATATCGCCATCTGTTAGTCATATTTTACACTATCGTCATTAGTAATGTTTTTGACATTTCTGGTTATTATGTTTAATATTAAAATATTAATAGATCGTTCATCATAAAAAATATGTGTGTATATATATATATATATACATTCTATACATAGAATCGCTAGCCTTCTCGAAAATAATAAAAATAGTAGGTTTTGGTCAACCTTTCCCATCTCATGATTTAAGTACAGTTCATATGTTCACTGAAACATTGTGTTTATAATATATTTAAGTCAATTCGTAATCGTGTGTTTATTTTTTTGAAGAATATTTAAATAAATCATAATTTCTTGCAGAGGTGTAGAATGCTTGAGATAAAGAATATTTAGGCCTAATAAAAATGATTGAAATACCGGTAAGCCCTCACTAATGAGCTGTAGTACTGAATGAAAGATCCTCCTGGGCAGTGACTCATGGCAGTCATGAGATCTGAAGTACTACTTATACCTACCTCTGATTCAAAGTTTATAAATGACTAATTAGGGGGAAGAGAAGAAAAACGTCTGCAGTTGTCAAGTATAATTTTATGCACTTGTGTTTGAGCTAAAAATACAGTTTGGCTGTTAGTGTTACATAGATTGAACTCCTTCAGTTAACATTTCAGGCATTCTTTTAGCTGCCACAGGTCTAGCTCTTCTGATGATTTCTGTGTTCAATGAAAAACCTCATAAGCAGTGACTTGTGGCAGTAAAAAGATCCAAATTGCTATTTTCGTACACCTATTGACTTTAAAATCATAAAGAGCTACCTAAGAGGAATGTGTAAAGTAAACATCTACAGCCAAGCATGATTTTAAATATTTTTTTTTATTTAGGGATCTGTTGTAATATTAATTCCTTAAATGTCAAAGTGTTTAATACAACTATGCTGAGCAACAGTAATTAACTTGTTGGAAAGAGTTACAAATAAAGAGTTATTTACAAATAAAACATCCAGAAATTAGTTATTCCAATCATTCATTTAAGTTTAAAGTATGAAGTTGGTACTCTTTTAGTTTGTGCTTTTGAGGATTAGAAGGCTTCCAGCATGTTTATCGTGATGAAACATGACTTGCAAATACACTACATTTTATTATTGTTTTTATTTGATTGAACTGTATAAGACATCGTAATAAAATGCTGTATTTTCTCTTTTTGCTAATAAAATATAATATCTTTCAGATGTCTCTGATGTAAAGACTATAATTAAACTCGGGTTAATAGAAGAGAATGATCATATTAATCAGTTTTTAAACTTGCATATGGTCAGCAAGTTCTTGTGCTTGCTCATGAAACAATGATTTTCTTACATGAAATATATTTTTTGGGTTTAACTTTATTGTATGAATGTTCATACATTCTTATTAGCATTGTAGTTGTTCTGATGTTATTTGTTAATTTTGCAAATTAAATATTTTTGAGTATTGACAAATAGGTTACATTTTAAACTTTTAGGAAAATTCATTGTATTAGGTTGTCAAGAAATTAATGTCACGTTTTGGAACACTTTCATTAACCACCCCCAAGGAACTTACATCACGTGTGATATTTTTCGAGTCCTGAGAAATATGGAATATTTTTAACCTTGTGGGAAAAATTCATTATGTTTGAAGAATGAGCTGAGTGAATTAATTTAATTAGTTTTACTGATTTTTCTCATTCAGTGTTTTAATATTTCATTGATTAAAATGTGTTGATCCTGTTGTAGATGTTACCTCCGACAATTTTTTGGGTTTTACCAGACGTGAGGCTAAACTAGCAGAAAGAGTGAGAGAGGTTGAGGCACAGAACCAGCTATTACGAAGACAGCTCAGGTCTGTTTTATTAACATGTTGTGTTTTATTGTTTTGATTTTCATTCCACACTTACAAATATCTTTACATTGTTTTTTAATTTAATTTAAATGGATTCACAGAGCCTTTCATCTTGCAGCACCTTTAACTTGACAATACAGTCTCCTTTATACTGCTATCCAAAAAGTATATGGATCATGATACTTCAGGAAATGTGTATTCAGTTGAATGTACAAACTAGAAAAGCTATTATATTGGTGAGATTAATGGACAAATTTCTACTTATTTCCAGGAACATTTAAAATTTCCATCTCGTGTTTGAACATGTGTCTACGAAAAAGCATTTATTTGATTCTTCCCAAGTAAAAATTCTGATCAGAGAGGACAGGATTAATAGACGAAAAATAAAAAGAAGCCCTTATAAATTAATAAATATAACCCTATTCTTAACAAATACAAAGGTGTTCATTTATATATATATTTTAGTTCCTTTCTCTTTTGTACATAGAACATATTTCAATACTTAGACTCGGGCTTATAGTTAAAATTGGCAGTTCGTTGATAAATTATTTTATTGTTTACAGTTGCTCAGTTGTATGCTTGTAGATTACTATTGTTATAGGTTTTGTTTTTTTAATTACATTCTGTTAGTCCCATTAGTTGTACACCACCTGATAATGCCAGGTAAACCTGGTGAAATGTTGTGAATTAACCCATTCATTGTGGCTCTGACATATATTTCCAAATGCAGTGGGAAATGTACATCCCAGCTGCAGTGAGAATTAAATAAAAAAAAAAGTTTTACTATGTACAACTAATAAAAACTTGTTACTTATTCTTTGTTCTTGTTGTTGGTTTCAGTTCAATATAATATTCATTGAATTCAGATAAAATGCATTTTAGTTTTTTTCATCTCTCCTTGAATATTACCCTGATCAAATTTTGATTTTTGGCTCTGGTTTGTGTGAACAGCAATAATAAAAGTTAATATCATCTGCACATATTAAAATAAGTCTGATTAATTTTGTACATAGAACATGGAATACTCTTCTTTGTGAATAGGTCCCAATCAATTTTCACATAATGAAAAATATAAAACTAAAGAAGTTGTGACTTAAAGGGGAAAATACACAATGAAAGTTCTGTAGTAGAGTATCTACATTCACAAAACATGTTAGACGTGTGCAATTATGTACACCAGAAGTATTTGCCATATTAAAATTTCTGGGAGCACTGAAATATGATAAATACAGATTGTGGGTGCCTCATGCAAGAAACATGTATTTAGTCATACAGTTGCTGGAACAAAGCATCACTACTATGATAGCATTGATATATTCTTTCACAAAGAAACAACAGAAAAATTGTACTTCACAACTTGTTCTGTATATTCAACTGAGTGTGTAAAGCAGTATTGTATTCTCTCTCCCCTCCCAAGTATTTTAGATGTATACACACATGTACAAAACTGATTTTGTTGAGTTTTTATTTATTTTTGTTTTTCATTGTGTTCTGATATGTTCAGTATTCTAGTCTACATCTCCTTTTCCTGTCACTATAGTATTTGTTTTATTCTTGTTTAATTTGGAATTGTTTTATATATGATCTACTCATAATTTTTCTGTATTATACACAGTATTTCACAGAATCACTTGTTTAATTTAAAATTGGTTTATATATGATCTATTCATAATTTTTCTGTATTATACACAGTATTTCACAGAATCACTTGTTTAATTTAAAATTGGTTTATATATGATCTATTCATAATTTTTCTGTATTATACATTCACAGAATCACTTGTTTAATTTGAAATTGGTTTATATCTGATCTACTCGTATTTTTTCTATATTATACACAGTATTTCACAGAATCACATGTTTAATTTGAAATTGGTTTATATCTGATCTACTCGTATTTTTTCTATATTATACACAGTATTTCACAGAATCATCTCATGAACTTTATAGTTGAAGCACAGCAAAATGGAAGTAATGTTCATTCAGGCAAAGAATCCTTAGGAAACATTGAAAGACAGGAGAAGAATGGAGAAAGGTCATTTGTTTGTGTCAACCCAGAACCTGAAGTGCCAAAATGTGAAGTGATTCATGTATCCATTGTTTGCGCTGGCTACAATTCTAGCAGATCTGTTGTAACTCTAATTAAAAGTATTCTTTTTTATCGAAAAAATCCCTTGCACTTTCATTTTATCTCTGATTCAGCAGCTCAGCTTATACTACAAACATTGTTTTATACATGGAATGTTCCTGGAGGTAAGCAAAGTAGATGTGTGTTTTGTGAGTAGATTATATTCTTTTATAATTTCGTGGTCCGGTATCAGTTTATTATATATATATATATATATATATATATATATATATGAATTACAAACTTTTCTGTGTGCTATATGACAAATGGTTCTTTAAATAACCATCATAAATTATAGTATTTTGGCACTTGTGTATAAAGTTAAAATCATAAATTATATTCAACGTTAAACTGGTACACAGTTAAAAACATTTTATTTAGGCCTATCTATGGCCTTCAAAAAGTTGACGACTCTACATGCTCCTCAGGATGACGTTTGGGTTTGTAGTTGAAGTAAGAGAAACTCCTAATGATAAGTGTTTGTGTTGTTTAGTACATCTGCACAAGAAAAAACTGAGAAATATTGTTTTGTAATATTTACCTAAAACTCCTTTTTTCACCTAATAAAACCTTGTTCTTCGACAAAAACCTTTGTGCATATAAAGATTTACCTTGTTCTCTCGCGTATCTAAGTTTATTATAAGTCATCCCGTGAGTGCCGCAAGAGTTTTTTTATACTGGACTACAGCAAAATGTACTTTATTATATTTCTAAATGTGTTGATTACAATTTAATGACTTAAGTAAATTTACAAGCAAATTTAAAATGTTCTTTGTGCATGATTATATAAAAGAGATCAAGTGAGTGGTTTTCACTTTTGATAAGTGTTACATGTAATTATGTTAAAACCTACGTGTGGAAAGTTTGGATAGTTTTTTTGGTTTGTGTAAAGTAAAATATCAAATATAAGTCTTGGCATTTTAAGAGAGTTTTTGACAATGTTTGATATACATGACTATTTTGATTTAAGTTTGATCCAAGTGTTAAATTTAGCTATTTTTAGAAGCAATAGTTTATCACAGGTTTGTTTACCTAACTGTTTATGAATCATAAGCTGTGTAGTTCAATTGTTGTGAATTGACAGTTGTTATATTATTGCATCATAATGTCTCATAGTGTGTAGAATGTTCTAAGCCTTGGTTGGACAATAAATACATATACAAAATGTAGGTTGAGTTAGATATAGTCAGATAGTTATGAGAGTTAGATCTAGACTGCTTAATTGTGAGTTTAGCCATAAATAGCTTATAGTAGTGATTTTTAAAGTAAAATTATCACAGATTGTATTGTAATAAAATAGTAGAGAATAAATAATTAATTGTGTTCTAAAGTCACCAACAGTATAAGGAACATTTGTACATACATTTGAATTGTTTTGATATATTTTAAAACAAGTGGACTGTGTGCTGTTTGTTTATTGTTGAAATATATCACCAACAAGTCACAGACACCTACTGTAAAGAATTTGGCCCATATACATAAAAACCTGACAAATAACTTGGTACTTCTTGTAGTCCTTATTGGAAAGGTAGTAACGTTTTGTGTACATGGCTGAATAAAATTCATTATCTCTCCTTATATTTTATGTTTATTTCTCCTTTTATTTTTTTTCTAATGTTAGGTTATCAAGTTAAAGGTCGTTGTTTAAAGTATGTTCACATTGGTTTGCTCTAGCCTGTTCGAAGCTTTCAAACCTCACATATGACACAAGTTTCCAAACTTCAAGTTGTACTTAATTTTTTACTCATCTCCAGTATGAAAAGAAAAAAACATTCACGTTATATTAATTGTATTTGATATTTGTTTGTTCAGTATGGAAGCTATTTAAATACAAACCTATGATAATCTCCTTCAATAACTAGCTTACCTTATTTTCCTAGTGAAAACAACACCTTTTACTAATTTGATATGCATAACAGTATCAGAAATTTTTTTATTTCCCTATTAATATAGTGTGGCCCAAAAGCAATATGACTTTGAATGTAAAATGTAACTTATTTTCTTCTATTTCTATTATGTAAATAAATATTTGAACTGCAATGGAAAGTATGGCATACTTAACTTCATTAGATTTGTGTTTACAGCATGTTACCTGGATAGAGATTGCTGTTAGGGAATACATATTTCAGAGTAATGTTACTTTTGGGCCACTGTGGTACTAATCAGTTTTGTTTTCAGTGATTTGTTTGCTTGTTGAAAATATTCATTTTTATATAGTTCTGATGTATTAGTTAGTTTGCTCGTGTTTACAGCATGTTATCTGGATAGAGATTGCTGTTAGGGAATACATATTTCAGAGTAATGTTACTTTTGGGCCACTGTGGTACTAATCAGTTTTGTTTTCAGTGATTTGTTTGCTTGTTGAAAATATTCATTTTTATATAGTTCTGATGTATTAGTTAGTTTGCTCGTGAACAGGTGTTCTTAGTCGTGTATCACCATTCCTGTTTTGTTTTTCTCCAACTAGTTGATGTCAGTTTTTACCTGGCCGACAATGTACAAGGAGAGGTGTCATGGGTTCCCAACAAACATTATTCTGGAGTCTATGGTTTGATGAAGTTGGTGTTAACGAAAGCTTTACCTGATGTTTTAGAGAAGGTAGTGTACACCACATGTGTATCAGTAAATGCATATTTGTATTATTTTGAAAAGCGGTAACCAGATGGAGTCTATGGTTTGATGAAGTTGGTTTTAACGAAAGCTTAACCTGATGTTTTAGAGAAGGTAGTGTACACCACATGTGTATCAGTAAATGCATATTTGGATTATTTTGAAAAGCGGTAACCAGAATTAATTGTTCTGTGCAATTAATTTCTTTTGTAGTTTGATTTACTAATAAGCTTTTCATATGTAAAATAAAACAAAAAATTATATATATTCTTTAGAAATACTAGTCAGAGTAGTAGTAGTCATTTTTTTTTTAACCTCTTCACTCAGTTTCATTGAAACGACCTTGGTAATAATTAACAAATTGAACTTATCCAGTACTGAGGAATTTTGCTGATTTAGAGAATTTTATGGCAATCATTCGTGTTGACATAATAATTTCAGATAGTTCTTTTATTCTTCCAGATTATTGTTTTAGATACAGATGTTACTTTTGCCACGGATATTGCAGAACTTTGGAGGATTTTCCACAAATTCACCTCAAAACAAGTAAGTTGTCTGTGTTGTTTTATGTACTATTAATGGAGTACAAGCATGTTTAATGCCATGTAGTTCTGTGTTTATATTGAAGATGGGTTTTGTTCTTACTACATAAGGTGATTAACTGCCCAAGCATCTAAAATGAAAAACGTATCTTAGTGTCATAGTGATAAACCAAAACAGTAATGGTGCTGAAGTATGGCCAAATACTGATCCTTCGGATTTGATATACCACAATATTTATTTTTTATTAAAATGGATATTTATGCTGTTTTGTATTTAGTATGTAGAATTAAACATGTAGTTGATAATTAATATGGTATATATAAATTATTTTTATAACGAACTATTTTTGTAATATAATAAATGTTTGTTTCAACATTTTTTGTACTTTAATTAACATAAGAATTGTTTTCCCCAGGCCATTGGCTTAGTTGAAAACCAGAGTGATTGGTATTTAGGAAAACTGTGGAAAAATCATCGGCCATGGCCTGCTTTGGTAAGTGAATTTTTCTATGTTTTTCATTCATTGTTGAATATCAAGTCTTTATGAAGTAGAACATTGGTCTAAAAACTATAATCATTTTAAGCTCATAGGGTTTTAGGACTGGGTCATCATTAATACTGTTGTATAAACACTTTTGTATAGTTATATAAGATTTTCAAATTCTATAGTAGATGTATGCCAGAATTAACTTAGCCATTAACCCATTGACTGCAGCTGCTCTAAATGTGTATGGAATTTTTGCAAGCCATATACTGTATATGGCACACTTGCATTCAACTGCCAGAGGTGGATTGTACCCTATAAGGCAAATCAGCAGTCAATGGGTTATAATAATGTTTCTTATTCTTTTGAAAAAAGGGATTAATACAGGAAACCTATTTTGGCATTTCACTTGTAAGTGATACAAGATTTTTGTTATTAAAATTAGCTTTAAGTGCACTGGAAACACCAGAAAATTGCAGTAAGTAACTTCAAAGTGTTTTGTACGTAATCATTCTCTACATGAAACACATTGCTAACATGAATTGATGACATTCACGAGGCACAACTGGAGTTGTTATAGCAAATCCAACTGTTGGCAGCACATGACTGTCAGTTTTATTTGCCTCTTAATTTAAGTTTTGACTACAATTACTGCCTGATGAACTACCAAGTAACTAATGTAGTTAGTATGCCTTTAGTCACAAGTCTTATGCTGGCATGTTTTCACACTTGCTTCCATAAACAAAAAATCATATTGTTTTTGGACTTAAGAACATAAAATATTCATGAAATAAATACAGATTAAAGCCAATAAATCCGTCATGACTACTTTATTAATAAAATAATTATTATACTTTTCAAGCAAGATATTACAGGAGGACTCCTGCATATTAATAGCATGCATAATATCTTGATTGTGAGAATCTTGTTAATATGTAGGTTTTGTTTAACTGAAGCCAAAAAATATTTAATCTGTAAAACTATCTAATATAATAATACTTGGTTATTGTCTGTCCTGAAAGTGTGCACACATCTTACTATCTAAATTCACATGTACTTTATTTCAGTGGATGTTAACAAAAGGTAGATGTAAATATACTTTAGTAGACATTTTGTATAGCAACGTATTAAAATCTTATCAAAATTTTTAAAAAGGTCTAATGTTAAGCTGTAGAATAACATTAAGTTTAATTATTGATAGTATTAAGTATAGTAAATTTGATGACGAGGAACCCACTGTGTCAATGTAAACTACTTGTACCTAATGATGGCATAATCTTGTTGAAACATTTATAATAATAAAGTTTTCTTCATTACCCATTCAAGCCATCTCCAAACTTTTAAGTACAGTAAAGTTTAGCCCTAACTAAGTTAAGGCAAAAAATGTACACAAGTTAAATGGTTAATTGATCTCTATATTTTAGGCCTAAGATAAGTGGACTCGTAGATTTTCAAATAAACATACTGATTTAACTGCAAATGTTTTACAGGTTTTTGCTAGTTCTTTTATCACTTTCACTTTGTATATATGCAAAGATTTGTGGGTTATTACATGGTGATAATGCAAAGACTTGTGGGTTATTACATGGTGCTAATGCAAAGACTATTAAGTTATTATAGTGATAATGCTGCATGTTCACTAATTCTTTGTTGAAACCTAGTAGCGAAGTCTATATAGTCTTTTTAAATGTAAGACAGGTATGCTTATAAACAACTAATGATCTTGGCAGTTTAGGAATTTTTTTTTTAAGGAAAAAAGATACAGAAGTTTGAATTGACTTTTGAAGACACATCTAAGTGAAACCTGTTGAAATGCTCTACTTAGAAATTGAACAAGTGTATTTCTTTATACCAAAGATTCATCACCAACGTGTGAATGAACCAAAGTCACAATGTATGTGTTTTTGTGGTTTTTTTTTACTGTGGAAACAGTGTTGTGATGTACTGAATATTCATATTGATGAAGTCCAGAGGATACTAATTTTTTCTTACTCTGAAGTTTCTTGTTGAAAAGACAGATGAGTTTTTGGCATCATGAATAACTTTGCATGTTAATTTTCATTTAAGTTTCACTTGAAGAAGTTAGAAAGAAAACTCAATTGTTTTTTTTTTTTCCTCTTGTCACAGTGGAAATTCTTAATTAAATTGCATGAAACTTGGTACACCTACTAAATAGTATCTAGATTTTGGTTTTAAAAACTTGATTAATTTGATTTGGTCTTTCTCTCAATTTTATGTTGTGAAATTTACTAATTTTTGTTTATGGATTATCGTGAAAAACATTAAATTTATTTCCTTTCCTCTTAATAAGTATTTCAATTTTTTTTAATTGTTGTTCACAAAATTCCGTTTGATAAATACAGTCGATTTGTTTAATACTAATGAACATATTTATTTTGGTACTTTTATTATGGCTGATTATATTAGTCGCCATTATTTTTGGCTATAAACTGTACAAAAAAAAAAACCTGACAAAGGTTTATAGGTGTTTGAGAACCCAACTTTTCAAAATGACATTAACATTACTTTTGTCAGTCTAAGTTCATGATTTTTGCTAACAATACTCATGAATGGTATACATTTATTTCTAATAAATATGGTTTATTTTCAGTTGACAAGTTCTTTTATTTGTATGCATTGTTTGAATATGATAAATTTAACAGTAATATTCAATAGGTAAAAATTTTGGTCATAAGAATATTTTGCCATTGACTTCCATACTAAACTTACCTAATGCCTTATTATTGAAAAAAATTTATGTAGATTTCAAACAGATACAATTTAGCATCAAGATATTTCAGGAATGAAAAGAATGTATAAAGAAACTAGAAAAATTCCCAGATTTGTTTTTTGTTCTTCCCATTAGATTCCTTTTTTGAGCTCGTTAGTCAGTATCTCAAGAAATGATAAATTACTGAGCAAACCTTTTTATTTACTCTACATTGATATAAATAGTTTATTAACATGCTCTATCCACTCATGTTTAAATCTCTGTAGCTATTTTGTAAACTAAGCTTCATTAGTAATTGTTCAGACCACATAATTTGATGTCATGAAAAGGTGGCAACGAAGGGCTATAGTAAAAAAAATCACTAAGACAGAAGGAAAATCATGTGAGGAACAATACTTGGATAGTTAAATTCTGAAGTGTTTGAGAGCTTCTTAGCCAATATTTGTATATAAGTAATTATAAATTCTTTATAATGATGTGTTTAAAAGGTGTTGGGATCCTATCAGTTACCATAGAGTTCATGATTTTCAAAACTAGCTGCTACTTGCTTGTGTTAAATGAAGTAGCACAGGTAGAGTGGTTTGTCATATTATCAAAATCTGCATGTTTGCACTTTAAAAAACAAATATCAACTATCTTTCTATAAATGCCCTTTTTTTTCTCTAACTTACAAATGTTAATTCTGTTATTTGATTATAACATTTCTCCATGTGGTCAGGGTCGTGGTTTCAACACTGGGGTCATCCTTCTTCATCTTCAGCGGCTAAGAGAGATCTCATGGATGCAGATGTGGAGGTTGATAGCAGAGAAGGAGTTGCTGAGCATGTTGTCCACTTCTCTTGCTGACCAGGTAAGAATTTAGTCCATTAATGTCCATTATTATTATTTTGTGGCAGTGTTATTAAACATAAAGGTTTAACATGTTTTCACAATCTAACAGGCTATCAAGTATTATTTATACTGGCTTTACTGGTATAATAGCATTGATATATACCCGCAGTTCATTTAGTTGGATTGTATATCTGTACTTTCATAGGAAATGTGTATCATGAATAATCAGTTGAATTAATTGCAGTGTTGTTGGATCCAATCAGTAATTTTATGGTTTAATAAAATACTTAGGCTAAGTTTCCATTATAACTTCAATGAAAAGTTGATAGTCTTTGTTTATTGTGTGTAATTGTAGGACCAGTATTTTCACTTAACCTATGGGCAAAAACATTGTATAATGTGTGAATATTCGTGGTGTAATACCACACCACACTGATCAGGTAATGTACCACAGTAAAGCTGGTTAAAAGTATAATCTCATGTAATAGTGTACTAGAGGCTTAGCAGTAAGTCTATAGGCCTATAATGCTAAAAACTGGTTCTTGATACTCAATGTTGGCACAACACAGACAGCCCTCATGTGCTTAACAATAAATATAAACATAAACTCGCGTGATAGAGGTTTGAGAATATGTTTACAATAAAAACATGGTTGTAATTATGATTCTCAAACATCATTTTGTCATAGCTACTGAACTTATGCACTTCTTTTTTGATGTTTAACCTTGTTCTGTAATTTATAATATTATTGGAAAGATAAGGGGTTGTTGCAGTTATTGCACTGTATAAATGCCTTTCAAGGCTTAGTATTAGAAATGTAAACACAAATAGCAGAAGTGATATGTAATTAACAAATTATATAGTTATAAAAATAATAGTTTTCTTTTAGTATTTCTACTTTGTTTGAGAGTTTGAGTAACTTAATTGTTTGAAGTTATAACTGTTCTGTTCAAGTCGCTTGCGTGTCTCAAATGGGAAGTTTAATTGCATATTTACAACAAAAAAAAGGTAAAAGTATATTATAATTCAAATTTTTAAAAGGATGTTTTTTTGTATCGGCATGAATTTTTATAAAATACTCACCATTATGAGAGATGCTATGAGTGAAAGATAGACAAAATGTATTAAGTGATCTAAGAGGTTCACAGAGATTGTTTTAGTACTATTAGGGATGTAGCACAGCAGTCAGTTAGGCTTCAATCAAGTAACTTGGTATTAGTATAGTAGTTTTTATTTTCCATTAAACACTGTTCCTAGAATGGTATTACTTTTATTATATTTTGGTACAGTATAAAAAAAAGTACTTTAAAAGCAGCTTTCTCAGTGTTATTTTCTTTTTTTTATACAGCTGTTTGAAATGGGAATGTTTTAATTGCAAGTCATGCATTATGACAGACCTTCAAACTTCTAATGCAAATTTTACATGATCTTACATCCACGGGGCATTACTTAAGATACGACTCCTTTTTTTAGCTGGCTTTTACAATATGAATAAAGATGTATTTGCAATTGCCCTGATTCTCCAAGAAAGTTTTAACTAGTTAGTGCTATATACAAACTTAGTTTATATAGATAAATTATATTGCTTTGACACTATCTTCTGTCATTTGAATTTGATTTTCACACTTTCGGGTATTAGTTTAAGTAATATCTAATGCAGAAACAGTAAGTGTTTCTGTCAGTTAACACAAATTCTTTATTTGTGCAATATCATAGATACATACATTTTTCTTTGAAAAATATAAAATTTACAAGATTCATCAGGAACAAAGTAATTGAGGCAATTTAACAAGAATTTATTAATATTTCTTACCTTTTCTAATTATTGATAATGCAGCTTTTAGTTATCAGTTTTCTTTCTTTCTCTTCAGGATATAATAAATGCTGTGTTGAAGCAGCATCCTTACTTAATTTATCGTCTTCCTTGCCAATGGAATGTCCAATTAAGTGATAATACATTAAGTGAGGTAAGTGTAATAATTACATCCATTTTCATAAGTTAGTTATTTGCAATATCTAGCTAAACGAAGGCATGGAAATCTGAGAATTGCTTTATATAACTAAAAAAGTTGGAAACAGAATATTAGCAAAATAGTTATGATCTGATGTGACCTATTGATTAGCGAGTTTGGTTAGTTCAAATCCTGTCACTGAACATGCTTGTCCTTTCAGCATTGATAAAATATAATGTGACAGTCAATCATGCTACTATTCATTAGTAAAGAGCAGCCCAAGAATTGGTGGTGGGTAGTGTTGACTAGTTGTCTTCTCTCTAATCTATCACTGCTTAATCAGGGATGGCTAGAGCAGATACACCTCGAGTAGCTTTGCACAAAATTCAACAAACAAATTCAGTTCTTACAATTAATCGTGCATCTGGTGATATTCTGAAGGTACAATTTATAGGAACTTGACTTTATTATGTTTCTGTGATCATAAGTTAAAAATGTATAGTTTACACTATGATTAGTCCCCCAGTGGCACAACGGTATGTCTGCGGACTTACAACGCTAGAATCCGATACCCGTGGTGGGCAGAGCACAGATAGCCCATTGTGTAGTTTTTGTGCTTAATTACAAACAAACAAATACACTGATTATTTAAACAAATTTTTTTTTTATGTAAGTAAAACATCAAGTGCAAAATCAGATCTATTTGTACTGCTATTATCTTTGAATTTATTAAAAATTTATGACTTTCATAATGTACAATGTGATCAATGTGTGTGATTAATTGAAGTACTTGGAAAGAATTATGATACCAAGTTTAATTAAAACTTGTTCTACAACACATTAAAGCTGGGAAATTTAATTAATTACATCCAAACATTATTGCCATGTTAGCCAATGAAAAACATTAAATAGGCTATTTCTAAGCTTCTGTTAAAAATGAAAAGTTTGTTTAAAAGTGCAGGAACTGTTACTCATTTATTATCAAACTTAGCACGAGTTGCGAAATGTGGATTTTTACTTAAAATGTTGCAATATTTGTGATAATTTGTGGATTTTTACTTAAAATGTTGCAATATTTGTGATAATTTGTGGATTTTTACTTGAAATGTTGCAATATTTGTGATAATTTGGGGATTTTTTTTATTTTAAAATATCTGACAGTTTTATCATTTTTTCTAGCTGTGCTACACAGAAGTTCAAGACTTAAAGGTCAGTTAATTACAAAGTATAAATTACATCTGTGGAATTACTGTAGAATCTGTAAAAAATGTAATTAGAATATATTATTATTAATACCAATGAAATACAGTCATTATGTAGTAGTAAGTTTCTTGTATGAGCTATTAACCCTATGCATATGGAGCTCAGTCAATTTGTCCAACATTGTAGTGCACGTGTCACAACCTCTTTACAGTGTTGTGTCCAAAATATAATTAAACAGCTTTGTTATCAATGTATATAAGTAAATATGGTATCAAGATGTTGTTTGTAATTGAAACTTTTATATTATTTTGTTTTTATTTCTTGATTACAAAAGGAAATGTCTAAAATAAAAATCCAAAATTTTCACTTTCATATGACACATCTGTCCTCTAATCTCTCCTACTCAAATTTTATGACTTCGACGTATTCTATGGAGCCTAACCAATTAGAACCACAAACTACATGTATTGGCAAGGAAGAATATAAAATTTGAATCTCCTACTTTCTTGATTTGCTGGGGTATCAATAAATTTGTGTCCCCAGGTAGGTTAGCAGTAAGTTTACAGACTTTCAATGCAACAATCTAGGGATCATCTCCCCATGGTTGAGAAAGCTCAGATAGCCAATTGTGTGGCTTTGAGCTAGAACAAACAATTTGTAAAACCCACCAAAGAAGCCCCTCTAATATTTTCATATATTTCATACCAATTACTTAGCTATACCTACCTGTCTAATGAAACAATAGAAAAAGCATATTGTAATGTGCAGGAATCTTAAGTTCATTTGTTTATTTTTGGTGGTCAAAGACTGTAAAAAAAAAAAGCTTGATAGGTGTTGAGTAAAGTTTTTGGTCCGAGAAGTAATGTAATTTTTTTAACCTAATTATAACTTAGTTAGAAAGCCAGATAAATTATTAGTAGTTTTTGGACATAATATTCTAGTGCATATTGTATTTATTGTTTTATAAAATGCATATTTGAAAGCTGCATGAATTATTATTGGATAATCAACATAGTGAGAAAAGTAAGGTTACTGAAGCATAGCATGTGAGTACAAATGGCATCAAGCTGAAATAAGTGCTAAATTTCTTGTTTTTAATGTATATTTTTTATTTGTTGTTACATCTTTTTAAAGTAATTTTAGTGCAAAAATAAGAACCTTTTCTTAGGTTAGATAAAACTTAAATGAAAAAAAAAATAGTGAAATCAGTGGGATGTTATGTGCATCATGTGACTGTAACCTGATCATTTGTTTACTCTTTGCTTTTCATGCACAAAGAGGTTCCAGTGTCCAGTAATAAAATGATAAAAATAATACAGATGTGAAAAAGTTAGAAGCTAAAGCTGTTAGGATAATTAATTGTAACTGTCTATTAGAATCTGCAATCTAGAAAAAAAAGGGTGTTTTATTATTGATTTTATTTCATAATTTCATTTCACTGATGACACATTGATTATTTCATATCTAGTTTTGAAAGACTTTTTTTTTATACTTCATTTGCATAACCCCTAGAACCTCCTAAGTGAATAGCAAGTCTTTCTTCAGTATAACTTTATACTTTAGCTTATATTTTCTTTACCACAACACTAATTGAAGTCATAGCAACAGTTTTAAATCTTGAAGCTAAGTCATTCCTTGTGTTGTCTTGACTCAAGATAAAGCTTTGTAATAATCAAGTTGTATTTGTAAACAAATTGAACTTTATATATTTTTTTTAATTTTTTGTAGGTGATACACTGGAACTCTCCGAAGAAATTGAAAGTGAAAAACAAGCATGTTGAGTTTTTCCGTAATCTCTATTTAACTTTCCTTGAGTATGATGGAAATTTGTTACGTCGAGAGTTGATAGGCTGTAATAATACCAGAAGTACACGTGTGCAAGAAGTAGTAAGTTCTGTCAAGTGTTTTCGCTAAGTAGAAAAATATGTAATGAAACCTAATGATGACTATTGAAACTGATCCAAACAGCTATATTATGGTAAAACATAGAAAGAAAGAACTTGTTTTAATGGGTTTTTTTCATAGCTTTTTTACTTTCCAGAAGTAAAAATGCAATGCACAAAAAGAGAGCATTGGTCATTAACTTGGAAATAATATACAATATTCAAATTTAATGGAGATACCCAGCAATAAAATTGTACAAATAATT